TGTTACTGAGGCCAGCTACTTCCACACCAAGACTGTCCATGCAGGGACAGTGTCCCTTCTCTTCAGGGTCAGGGAAAAAGGGCAGAAGCACCTACAGAGCTTCAATGCCCCTCCTGAGCACAAAGCACCGTGAATCTGAACTCCTGCTGCTTGCAGGGAAGGTAATAAAATGCTCCTGTGCAAGCATCCCCATCAAAAATAAAGTTTATTCTGTTTTATGTACAGGTAAATTAACAGATATTACAGAAATTAACAGAAAATAACAAATATTAATAGAAATATTAACAGAAATACTAACAGAAATTAACAAAAATTAACAAATTAACAGAAATATTAACAAATTAACAGACATTAACAAAAATTAGAAATTAACCAAAATATTAACAAAAATTAATAGGAATATTAATAGAAATATTAACAAAAATTAACAGAGGTATTAACAGAAATTAGCAGAAATTAACAAAAATTAACAGAAATTAGCATTATCTCTGCAATAAAATTGCAGCATTCCACAGGAATCACCAGAGGCTTTCTGGGACCTAAAGAATTCCCAGTCCCATTTTTTTTCTTCTTTATGCCCTCTGGAAGAGTCTGGGAATTTCCTGGCAAAATCCAAAAGCAGCAGAAATGCTGAGCCTGGCCCCAGAGCAGCAGGAATTCCAGGATGTTTCTGGGAATTCCAGAGGGAAGGAGGTTTTTGGGAATTCCAGGAGGGATCAGACCCAAGAAGTGTTTGGGAATTCCAGGAGGTGTTTGGGAATTTCAGGAGGGAATCAGGGGTTTGGGAATTCAGAAGGGGTTTGGGAATTCAGGAGAATTCCAACCATTTCCATGCTCAGCTGTGGATCCAGGACATCCCTGTAACTGTTCCCCAGGATTTGGGAATTCCAGCCCTCTCAGCTGTGGATCCCTGTGACTTTCCCCCAAGATTTGGGAATTCCAGCCCCCTCAGCTGTGGATCCCTGTGACTTTTCCCCCAGAATTTGGGAATTCCAAGCATTGCCATGTTCAGATGTGGTTCCAAGACATCCCTGTGACTTTTCCCCCAGAATTTGGGAATTCCACCCCTCTCACCCTCAGGGCTGTCCCAAATCCCACTCCTGCCCCTTCCCGGGCTCCTCCCGTGATTCCCGGGAATTCTCCCGGGAATTTGGGATGGGCCTGGGGCTCCTGCCAGCATGGAACCTCTGGAAGCAGAAGAGCAGTGACAGGACCAGGGTGTCCAGGAGCAGCTCCAGCATCTCCACCACCGAGAGCACCGAGGAGCCAAACCAGAGGCTCCACTGGCTGCCCATGCTGGACAGCAGCAGGTTCTCCTAAAAAAAACAAAAAGGGAAAGGCTTGGGGTCTTATTTTCCTTTTTAAATGTTTTTTCTATTCCTCACACCCATATTTGGAGCCTATGGGATCAGTAACTCATTTTTCCCTAAATAAAACCCCAAAACCAATCCTAAAATCTCCTAAAAAAGCCAAAAAGAGAAAGGTTTGGGAGTTTATTTTGATTTTTTAAATGTTTTTTTCTATTCCACACACCCATATTTGGAGCCTATGGGATTAGTAAAAAAAAATCCCAAAGCCAATCCCAAAATCTCCTGTAAAAACCCCAAAAAGGGTCAGTCAGGGCAGGGTTTGGGGTTTTATTTTGGGATCAGTGGATCAATTTCCCAATAATTTCCATTATTTGCCAAATTCTAGATGCAGTAGTCAGGGATGGGCAGTGGGAACAATATTATCTTATAAATAAATATATTTATATATAATATAAAAATAAGTAATTTACTTCCATTAATAGTGTCATATTACTAATTAATGTTATAATATAAATAAATATATTTATATATCATATAAAAATAAATAATTTACTTCTATTAATACCATATTAACAGTTAGTATTTTAATATAAATAAATATATTTTTATATAATATAAAAAGAAGAAAAAATTTACTTCTATTAATATTATCATATAAACAAATAGATGCATATACATATGATATAAAATATAACAAAAAATATATATTAGTTAGTGGTTAATATTATAATGGAAATAAGTATATTTTTATATAAGATAAAAAGAAATAATAAGTTTATATTAATATAATATCAATATATAATATTATATGATATATTAATATTTAATGCTATAATATATATTATTTTATACATAATATTAATATATAAAATACAATAATTTATATTATCATATAAACAGATGTTTTTATATCTAATACAAAGATATGATATAGAAATTATATAAATGTATTGATATAGATTATATAAATATAATAATATAAATTATATAAACATATAAATATATAATACAAATATATAAATTATATTAACATAGTAGATTGTAATTATAATATAATATTAGAATATATTATAAATATTATATATAATATATTATAATAGTTTATAATATAATATAATATAATCAAAAATATATATTTTAGTAATATAATATAATACAATACCATATAATATGATCATATAACAATGTATAATATAATAATGTATAATATCATATTATATTATGATATTATATGATATGATATATGAAAATTAATTTCTACTAATTAAGAATTAACACTATCACAGAAATAAGTCAATATATTTGCATATCATATCAAATGCCACAAAAATAATGAAATTCTGGGAATTCACCCCTCCTGAAGCTCTGAGGAACTCCATGGAAAGGGAATAAAACCAGAATTTTGCAGGAAAAGTCACCTACAGAGAGCAGCGGGGCCTCGCGCACGGCCTGGGAGCTCAGCTGGCGGTAGAAGATGGTGACCTTGGCCACGTCCCTCCTGCGGGAACAGCACGCCGGGCACGGGACATTCCAGAGGGCACGGGACGTTCCAGAGGGCACGGGGACATCCCAGTCGGGAACTCCCAGAGGGCATGGGGACATCCCAGTCGGGAACTCCCAGAGGGCACAGGGACATCCCAGCTGGGACTGGGACATCCCAGTCGGGAATTCCCAGAGGGCACGGGGACATCCCAGAGGGCACGGGGACATTCCCAGTTGGGAATTCCCACTGGGCACCAGGGACATTCCTAGCTGGGACTGGGACATTCCCAATGGGCACTGGGAACATTCCAGTGGGCACCACAGGGACATTCCCATTTGGGACTGGGACATTCCCAGGTCGGAATTCCCAGTGGACACCATGAGATCCCAGTGGGCATCGGGACATTCCAATGGGCACTGGCACAGTCCCAGTTGTGACTGGGACATTCCAATTGACACTGGGATATCCCACTGGGCATTGAGACATTCCCAGCTGAGACTAGGGGAATATTTTTTGGGGACTTATTGGGCATTTACTGGGAATTTATTGGGGATTTACTGGGAATTTATGGAGGGTTTATTTGGTAGTATACTGGGGATTTATTGGGAGTTTTCTGGGCAGTTTTGAGGGGTTTTTTGGGAATTTTTGAGGGGTTTTCCCACTGCCCTCCCTCCCCCATCCTAGACCCCACGGATCGGGATAATCCCACAGATTGGGATAACCCCACAAATCGGGAACATCCCAGGATTTACCTGCTGCTGCTGGAGCTGTAGCCGTTCTGGTGCCGCAGAGCCTGGCGCACCCAGTCCTGGCATGGGAATGTTGGCATTGGGAATGTTGTTAATGGAATGTTGGTATTGGAATATTTGTTAATGGAATACTGGCACTGGAATGTTTGTTAATGGGATATTGTTAATGGAATTTTGGCATTGGAATATTTGTTATTGGAATATTCACTACTGGAATGTTTCTGTTGGAATAGTAATGACTGGAATATTCATTATTGGAATATTCATGACTGGAATATTCATTATTGGAATGTTTGTTATTGGAATATTCATTACCAGAATATTTGTTATTGGAATATTCATGACTGGAATGTTTCTACTGGAATATTCATGACTGAAATGTTTCTGTTAGAATATTCATGATGGAATATTAATTACTGGAATGTTCATTATTGGAATTTTTGTTATTGGAATATTCACAACTGGAATATTCATTATTGGAATATTCGTGATGGAAGACTCATTATTGGAAAGTTCATTACTGGAATGTTTCTATTGGAATATTCATGACGGAATATTCATTACTGGAATATTAATTCCTGGAATGTTAATTCCTGGAATTTTGCCGTACCTGGGATTTCACCGACGGCCACTTGGCTGTGCCAGCTGAGACCTTGTACAGGGATTCCCTAGGGAGAGAAAAGAGGGAATGCTGAGAAAAATGGGAATTCCTGAGCGTTTCAGAGGGATTCATTCCTAGAATTTAATTATTTCTGTCTATTTTTATATATGTAAATATATCTATTTATTTCTATGAAAATATTCATGATTTATTCAGAGAAATGATTATATTATGTTATGTTATATTATATATTATATTTCTATGATAATACTAATTATTAATTCATATAAATTAATTATTTTGATTTATTTTTATATTATCTATAATTACATGTATTAATTTATAATAATTTATTTATTTATATCCTTATTTCTATCCTAATATTAATTAATTATTAATTTCTCTTCAGAACTTTGAGAATAGCTTCCCAATTCAGCTCACAAAATAAAGCCTGAATAATTAAATCGAATGCATACAGATATTATAAATAAATATATTTATTAAATATAATAACTACAAATAATAGAAATAAATGCATTTGTTAAATTAACTAGAATAACTACAAATAATAGAAATAAATCCCTATTAAATATTATATATATTAATATACCTCTTTATTAAGCTATAGATTAAATAAAAATAATTAAACGAGAAAAATATTGGAGCATTAAATTGCAATTTAATTTTAACTTACATTCAATTTAAACCAAATTTAATTTCAATTCAAATAAAAAGTGAATTGAACCTAACAAAGATGGGAACATAAATTGAAATTTAATTTTAACTTCCATTCAATTTAAACTCAATTTAATTTAGATTAAATTCCAATTAAAAGAGGATTAAATTCCAATTAAAAGATATTTAAATTCTAACTAAAAGAGGAATAAATTCCGATTAAATTGGGATTTGGGGCTCACCTGCAGGGCTTGGGGCAGTGCTGGAAGCAATCCAAGCGGTGACTCCGGAGCCGCCAGTGCAGCTGGTAAAAGCAGTGCCCTGGGAAACCCATGGAAGGAACTTGGGAATTCCCAGGAATTCCTGGGAATTCCCACTCCCTCTGGAAGTGTATTATTATTATTATTTTTATTACTATTATTATTATTTATTCCCCACCCCGGTGGCTTACCCCACGCGGGCTGGAGGCTCTAGTCACAATCCCTGGGGATTATTTCCCAGGCAATCTCAGTGATTGTTTCCCAGGATCCATTGAATTCCCGGGAATAATAATAATAATAATAATAATAATAATAATAATAATATAACAACAACACTAATTACCCCAGGCGGGCTGGCGGCGGTAGTCGCAGTAGCGCGCGCCGGCGGGCAGCGGGTAGTAGATGTGGCCGCAGCCGCAGTGGCGCAGCATGGCCCGCTGGAAGCACGAGTGCAGGCAGGCCTGGGACAGGGAAACACGGGATAAACAAAAACGTTCCGGGCTCTAGGGGGGAGCTGGCAGGAGAAAACGGGGAGAGAAAAATTGCATTAAAAATGAAAAAAAATTGGAATCTGTAAGGTGGAGCTGGTAGGAGAAAAAGGGAGAAAAATTGGATAAATAAAAGAAAAATATTAATTGGTAGGATGGAGCTGGTAGGAGAAAAAGGGGGGAAAACTGGATAAATAAAAGAAAAATCTGAATGGAGCTTTTAGGAGAAAAGGGAAAAAATAATTTGAATACATTTTTTTAAAAAATCCAAATCTCTAGGATGGAGCTCTTAGGAGACAAGGGCAAAAAAAATTGGAGTTGTCGTTGTAGAGCAGCTGCAGCCTGGCTAAGCCGGGTTTAGCTAAGCCAGGCTCAGTACCTGCAGGGTGTAGGAGCTGTTGTAGTGCAGCTCCATCCTGACCAAGCTGGGTTTAGCTAGGCCAGGCTCAGTACCTGTACAGTGTGGAAGTTGTAGAGCAGCTCCATCCTAGCTAAGCTGGGTTTAGCTAGGCCAGGCTCAGTACCTGCAGGGTGTAGGAGCTGTTGTAGAGCAGCTCCATCCTAGCTAAGCTGGGTTTAGCTAGGCCAGGCTCAGTACCTGCAGGGTGTAGGAGCTGTTGTAGAGCAGCTCCATCCTAGCTAAGCTGGGTTTAGCTAGGCCAGGCTCAGTACCTGCAGGGTGTAGGAGCTGTTGTAGAGCAGCTCCATCCTAGCTAAGCTGGGTTTAGCTAGGCCAGGCTCAGTACCTGCAGGGTGTAGGAGCTGTTGTAGAGCAGCTCCACAGCCACGTCGGCCCCATCTGTGGTGCACTTGCCATAGTTGCCACCCAGGCGATTGACCTGGTCCTGCGGGGACATGAAGGAGCCTGGGGTGATTCATTAGCAGGGTTAATTAATTAGTGCCCCGAGTGATGGGCAGTGTTAATTGGAGGTCTGGGTGATTAGCAGGATTAATTAAAGCCAGCCATCACTCACTGAACTTCACTGCAGGAAGAGACGGTTTGGGATGGTTTGGGATGATTTAGGATAATTTGGGATGGTTTGGGATGGTTTGGGGATGGTTTGGCATGGTTGGGGATAATTTGGGATGATTTGGGATGGTTTGGGACGGTTTGGGGATGGTTTGGGGATGGTTGGGGATCATTTGGGATGGTTTGGGATGATTTAGGATGATTTGGGATGGTTTGGGACGGTTTGGGGATGGTTTGGCATGGTTGGGGATCATTTGGGATGGTTTGGGATGATTTAGGATGATTTGGGATGGTTTGGGACGGTTGGGCATGGCTGGATTTTGGTTCCCCTGTGCCCACCTGGCGGATGCCGATTGTGGTGGCGATGCCCGGGCGGATATGGAAGCCCTCGTGCTCCAGGAACGGGGTCTGGTTGTGGCTGTGGATCATCACCTTCACCCCAGCCACGGTGGAGAGCAGCGGGATGTGCTCCTGCTGCTCGGCCCGCAGGATCAGGGACAGCCCTGGGGACACACGGGGGCACAGGAGAACAGCTGGAGTGCCCAGCTCTGGGCAAATCCCTCCTGTAAGGCCCAGATTTTGGTTCTGGGATCCCTCACTTTGAATTCCTGATTTTGTGGCTCTCCAAATTGAATTTTCTCAATTTTGGCTCTTTTCCCCCATTTTAGAGATCACTCACCATAAGGAATTCCTGGCTTTGTGGCTCTCCAGAAGGGATCTGTCCCCTTGCTGTTGAAAGTGTAGCAGCTCCCAAAAACTGGGTGGTGGAAGGGAATGTAATCACTGGAAAATCAGAGACTTCGTGGGGTTAATTATTTAATTTGTGATTTTGATTCCAAGCTGGGTGTGTTTGGGGAAATGGGAATCGCTGGGAAATCAAGAGAGATTGGATGGAATTTTAATTATTTGGTTTATTACCATAATTCCAAGATGGTTGTGTTTGGAAAAATGGGAATCACTAGAAAATCAAAAGAGATTTGAGAGTTTTACTGGAATTTTAATTATTTAATTTATGACTGTAATTTAAAGCTGGATGTGTTTGGGAAAATGGGAATCACTGGAAAATCAAGAGTATATATATATATATATACACACTATGCCATATATAGTATACAGAGTTAGAAAATCAAGTTAGTTTTTTCTGTTTTCCCTCCCCTCTTTGACACACATCTGTGAGTTATTTCGTCTCGCAGCACAACACCCTTTCCTACATATATATATAGTATATATACTATATTTAGTATATATACTATATACATACTATACACAGTAGAGTTAGAAAATAAAGTTAGGCTTTTCTGGTTTCCCTTCCATCTTTGACATAACACACGCCTGTGAGTTAGTTTGTCTCGCAGCGCGACACCCTTTCCACAACCCCTTTTTTGGACTCCCTTTCCACAACCCCTTTTTTGGACTCCCTTTCCACAACCCCCTTTTTGGACTCCCTTTCCAC